ACTGCCCTGGGACACGGGCTGATTTTTTTTTTTTCCTTTTTGAGTGAAGTCTGCCTTTCTGAAACTCCATCCTAGGCTTCAGGGAGTCTCCACTCTTCATGTTGTCCACCCATCCCTCCTGCCCATCCCTTGTAAGCCCCTTTTGCAAGCTCTTGCCCTGCACCAGGCCCAAAATGACATTTTTCCCTATAATCTCTCTATTTTTCATGCTTCACTACTATCATAAATACTGACACCTTCCAAGCATCTATCTCCAACTCACCTATCTCTCTTAAACCCCATCCAGACTCACAGCTACACTCAGATGTTCTATTAGTATCTTCAACTCTAAACATAAATGACCATTCATCTTGCTCTGTCCCTGCCTCCGCTCTTTCACACAGGACAAGCCCCTCCTTCTCTTCAATTTATTACTCGTTAAAGGGGACCTGGACATCCAACTCCGAGATCTCGGAGGCACCCTGCTTTCCTCTTTCTTTGCCATCCACATTAGTCAAGAAGTTCTACTCATTCTACCTCTTAAGTACTACCTGAAGCCAATCCATCGCCTCCACCCCCAATACCACCACCACCACAGTGCAGGCGCTTAATAAAGACTGTGATTTGCATAACTGCCTGCACTTCTAAAATGTATTTTTGATCACTTCTGTAAAATAAATAAATAAATAAATTCTTATAACCAAAATCTTTCATGACTTACAAAATCCTTCCTGATCTACCCTTTGCCTATTTCTTCATGCCCATTTTTTGCACATCTTTCCCCAGCACCCTGTATCAGCGGAAGGAAGGTCGGGCAATCTACTTCCATAGTGATACCGCCTCAGAAACTCAAGGAGGGATCGCTTTGAGTTGGGTCCGACTCCACGGCAGTGAGTTTTTTTTTTTTTTTTTAATTCCTTCCTTCTGATTTTCTAAATGTCCAAGCCTCTGCACACGACATAACTCTGTATTATGCTATTTTACCCCTTCATCTAGCAAGCTCTTCACCCAAGACTCAGTTGGGTATCCTCTTCTCTGAGCAAGATTTTCCCATGCTCCCCAGCAGTAGAGTTCTCGTTTATTAGAGCACATTTGTTCTGGAAAGCAGCCTGCTTCTCGCGCCAACTTTGAGCATCTGTCTACATTTTCTATTACAAAATGGTGCCTGGGACATAGCAGGTGCTCCATAGGTGTTGTAGGAATTAGTGAATAAGTCATGATTCAGAGGCCAATGGATCACATACAGGTCGAAGCAAGTCTATGAACACTAATCCCAAGACTGATTTACTAGTAAGTTGGCACCTTTTGCTGTTCTCTGAACTTAAACCCAATTTTGGAAGCTGGGGTGGGATTGTATTTCATATTTGCATCCCCTGTACCCAGGAAAATGTAGGTGCTTTCATAGTTTACTGAAGGCCTGCTCTGGTTGGAAGATGTTTTCAGAATCACCCACCTAAAAGCTCCTAGGGACAGGGCCATGTACAAATTCTGAGGCTGATCTAACAGTTTCATCAACCTGGAAAGGCTTTTTTTTTTTTTTGCAGATAGTAGAACCAGAAATCACCACAAAGTCACCCAGCACTGACTGCAAAATCCACATCCTACTGAACTACTGTTTTCTATAGGGGGATGAGGTTTACAGCTTTACAACTTGTTTCACTAGGGAACTGAAGAGTGAGTTGCCTTCCCAAGGCCTTTGTAAAATGATTTTCTCCTTAATTTTATAGATGAAATAAACAATTGAAACTTACTTACTTTCTGTGGATTATCTGAAGCCTATACAAAAAAAGAGCAGAACTTTGGGGCTAGAACACATTGCATTGTAGATGCCAAAGGCAGCTGAAGAAAGAAACAGTCAAGAAGAGTGAACATTGGAACATATGGTTAAGAGGTGCCCTGAGATATTCTAGAGAGTCAGGTAAACAAACTAGAGGGAAAAATTGTATCCCACGAGGAAAACCTCTGACTCTGGCTGGTGTACTGATGGGAACACAGCAGGTGTTTGGACCTTCTCCCTTCCTTCCCCTTCCCCCACCTGACCTTAAAGGTACAATGCTGGAAGGGCTGCAATAAGTAGAAATAACATATGGGTGAAATCAAGCCCGTTCCATAGCAGTTAGTACAGTGCCTGTCAAAGAGTGTACATTCAGCAAAAACTCCAGTCTGCTTCATTTCATGTCAGTATCTATATAGTAAGACTGTTATAATACACAGATAAAAAAAAAAAATCATTAATGTTGATAGAAAAAATACGAAAGACATTTTTTATCCTATGGAATGGGTTTGATTTTTATCAGGCATGTGTTATCACATTAATTCAGTGTTATTAGGAGAAAGCAAGAGTAGTATTTCTGTTCCTGGGTAGATAGGACATAAAAATAATTGACAAAATTAGGTTGGATCTCACAGAATGGTGAATTCTCAAAGTTAGCTGTTTTATATCAGATTATAAACTGACAAGGTAATGCCAAGGTCTTCTGAAGATCTCTGAAATTCACTAAGGCAAGCTCAACTTGGTTAAGGGGCAGCAGTACGGGAGACACTGGGGGAACACCTACTGGTGTCTGGCTGGGCCTTAGAGAGAACCCGATGTCATTGTGTTCCTACTGTTTACTGGGCCTGTTTTCACAAACGTAATGGTTTCCAGGTGTGCTCTGGAATACATCCAGAGATGTGTCCTAATTACTGAGATCAGAGAATTGCCTAGAGGTCAATGGGGAGCCTGTGGTCATCTCCCTATTCTAGCACATACGCAACCTCTCTCCTTGGGTCATGTGTTTTTGGTAAAAATGATTCAAAATCTTTTCGATCTACTGCACTGTGCAGAAATTAGACAGTGTAGTGCTGATTGAAATTTTACTTGGATAAAATCATTGGCTATTTCACAGATGCTGTTCGTTGCCACTGAGTCAGCTCCAACTCTTGACGACCTTACGTGTAACAGAATGAAATACGGCCCAGTCCTGTTCGGCACCATCTTCATGACTGTCGGTGTGTGTGAGCCCACTGCTGTGGCTTTTGTGTCACTCCATCTCTTTGAGGGTCTCGCTTGTTTTCACTGATCCTCTACTTCACCAAATACGATGAACTTTTCTAGACACTGGTCTTTGTTGATGACGTGTCCAAAGAAAGAAAGATGAAGTTTACCATCTTCTCTTCTAAGCAGCATTCCAGTTTTGCCCTACTTCACTAGATAATATAAAGAGAAAATCAAAAGAATTCATGTCTTTAATTCAGCAACTGTATATCTGTGTGGCATCTATGTACATCAGTTTCCCACAGAGGAAAACTGTCATAAAAATTTTAAGGTCCAACTGAATGTGAATATTAGGCAAAAAAACATGTTCATAATTTAGAGTAAGAAGAATGATACATCTGTTTCCTTTCTAAACTGTTTTGTAGTAATTTCTAAAGTATTTGCTAAACAGATTCCTACTAAAGTTATTAGATATCCTATTTAAGAAATTAAAAACCAAGTCCATCTCAGCTACTTCTTACCTGACTTTTCTTCTTGAATAAAAGATAATGCTAAATATACAGAAGACAAAGTTAAAATTAAATTAGTTAATTTAATTAAATGAAGACTATATCATTAAATCAAGCACAGAATTTCAGGAGGTACAGTCATTTGAAATCAAATAAATGAGAAGACTTTTAAAAAGACCAATGCCACCACTCTAACCTTCCCTGTGGTTTGCCTCCCATTCTAGGACTGCCAGAATATAGGACCACAAGGAGAGAAAACAACTGAGCTGTAATTCCAAGTCAAGTTAAATAAGAACCTGGAAGGCTGTAGCACACAAGTTAAATAATGCATTTAATTTTAAAGGGCAAAGGAGTTTTAAAAGGTGAAGGTGGTTTAATTATGACTGTCCCTTTTAGTCCCCTTTTAGGGGGAAAAGAAAGTTTTTCCTCTAACTGCTTCCCAACAATTCAATGACAGCAAACATCAAATCTAAGATGGTGCTGGAGTTCTTCTATAGGGACAAGAAGGAATCCAACTTCTTGAACTTTTGTCAGTCGAGAAAGAGGAAGAGGAAGAGAGAGAGAGAAAGAAAGAGTAAGTGACAGAGATTAAAACAGAAAGAGATAGCTATAGATAGACAGATAGAGAAGTGAACAAAAACTAATTTTCCAGGCAGGGAAATACTTATAAAACCTTTTATGTCAAAGTTAGGATTTCACAACATAACACACTAATGCAAAATCCAGTAGCACCTGTAAGATTTAAGTAAATGCTGCCATTGCTTAAATGCTTTTATATATCTGTAAAAGACTGAAGGGAAGAAAAAAGGATAAAGTACATTCTCCAGAGAACAACAAATGTATTTCAAAATAAAAACTGTATTTTTGTTTTTCTTTTTTTTTTCAGTTATTTTTTGTACAAGAATTCATAGTTATCATAGAATAACTTATACACAATGGGCCATCTCTGCTCTCCATGTCACGTCACGTCCACATGTTCAGGCTCTAGTCCCCAACATTGTTTTCTGATAAATATATTACCACAGTTTGATCTAAATATAGATACATTATATAATACTTGTCTCTGGGAAAATCAAATTTCAGTATGCAAACTTTTATTTATATAACACAGAAATGGAGAAAGTCACAGTAGGCACACAGCCTAATTATGACATGTAGAGGACGATTTCTACACGCTCTCCTACTGTAAATGGATGCTTAAAATAGTCTTAAGAAGATTTTATTTATATGTGCACTTGTGTCCACCTTATCCCATATACTGTACATGTCTAATGACAATCTGGGAATTAAAAGGTGCAGCCCTCAAGAAATTGTTAAGTCACTAAAAAAAGAAACAAGTAGCCTCCATTGGACAAGGAAAAAACTCACAAAATTTCCAATTTTAAATTTCTTATCAGTAGGAAAATATTAAAAATAATTTTCTGTATATACATATGGGTATATGTATATATTGAATTACACGTATGTCTCATGTATCAATACAATCCAACTGGAGACATTTGGGTGAGTTATTTGCCCATTAAATGACATCTCTGTCAAAATTTAAAAATATTTTATTACATCATTAAAATAATTCACTTAATCATTTCAATAGCTTACACTGTTTTTTTTTTTTTTTAAGTTTCTAACTCTTCATAACTAAACCCCTGACCCCTAGTGTTAAATCCCCTATTTAAATTAAAACCTGGTGCTCTTTGTTACTCAGAAACTGAGGGATAAAGTCACATCTACTTCAAAATCCCATCAAGCAAATACATTTTATTACCTGATTTATCAGAGAAACATCTCAGCTCTGAGCATGTGTCCCTAAATTATTCTCCCTATAATAAATAGGTGAGAAAATTATCCTAAACTAGATGGAGGTAACTTACAGGATGTTACAGCACATATAATACATGATGACTGAGTGTCTGATATAAACTTTTCAGAGATACCTGAAAACTCACTTTAGAAACTAACTTTAGAAACAAACCATTTATTTTTCACTCTAATATAAATTAATATGTATGTATTTACGTACATACACATACATATAAAACAAAATTGTCTAGTGTCGAATACCTGTTTGTGAGTGAAAAAATGGTTACAAATTGATTGATTAGCTTAATTTTGTACTTAACAATTCAATCGTTTTGGGGTACAAAGAAAAAAAAGTCAGTGCATTTTTAGACTCCAGGGAGTCAGATACTCAAGCATACACTTTAAAAAGAACCCTCCTCAACATCACAGGCATTGTACAGCAAGAATATATGTACTCTGATGCAATCCTATTCCCTAAGCAGACCAGACAGCACTTGGCTTACTTTTAAAATAGCTTCTTAAAAGAAATGTATTATATAAAGAAATGCATGTTTGCTAAAAGTCTTTTAAAATTACATCAAAACAACATTAAAACCTGTTCACTGAGAAGAGCTTATTGTATTTAATTCCTGTTTTGAAATACCTAGTTAACAGTTCAGAATATTGCCATGTGAGGTTTGAATACAGATGTGGGTGATGTGAAGACCCAGGCAGAGTACACGTCTCCATCTCCATCTGCCACGACTACAATTTAGACACAGTCCTCAGATTGGCTGTTTGATGTAAATGGATCTCCTTGAAAATAGCTATACACCTTAAAATGATCTATAATAAACAGTTTCCCAGTAACCATTATTATTCTTAAATTGAAATGCATTGATCATTCAGAAAAGATTTCTTGCAAAATATATAAATAAATGTAACTGCATATTCTGTAAATATACTTAGCATTGCTAGGCCAGACCGTCAATGACGGGCTGCTGCAGTTCAGTTCTATGTGTCAAATTTATTAGAAATTTAAAAAGAAAAATTTCTGAGGGACTCAGCTGCCTTCATTAGTTGGCTTTAAAATGTGTAATAAAATGGGAGACGGTATCTTTTCATAAATACATGGAATCAATATGGAAAAGTAAACTATACAGTGGACAAGATTAGAGAACACCAGAGTGGTCACCAGAGTGAAACATCTTCCAGTATAAAAAAAGGGAAGAACCCTATATATGCGGTTATAGTAAGTATGTTTCAATTAGAGATGCAGCTCTCTCTCACTCCTGGCAAGAATTAATTGGTAATGACACTGCTTCTCAGCAGTGCAAAAATATCCTGAGAAATTATTCAGATTACAACAAAAGACAGGGCTTTCGTCAATAAGTTTTTGCACAAAACACAGCTCTAGATATCGTAAATAAATTAATTTAAAAAGCAGATAACCTTCACTGTGTTGAACACAATAAGGGGATGTGACCCAGACGTTAGTTCTCCCATTGGCTAATATCAGAAAAAAAGATTGCATTAAATGTCTATTTATAACTTTCTAGTTAACTATGGCCAATAATATACAAGGAGGTAATTTGTAGTTCAAGTTTTTCATCTCTTTTTTTTTTTTTTCCTCAACGAGCTACAAGCAGAATTCTAAATTTTACACTGAAATATACAATTCCAATTTTCCAAAGATCCTCCTCCTGGAGAAGTCATATTCAATATTTTTTTGTGCAATCTTGATGCAGAGCCCAAACAGTCCTATGAAGAGAGACAGTGTATCTTTTAATCTACTGGCACTGAAATTTCACTTTCTTTAGCTGCATTCTAGTAGCTTGGCCAAGTTATCTCGCAATTCTGTTAGTTCAAATATCTTTCCATCAAGAATTTCTAAAAGTGTCTTCAGGTTATTGCGAAAAGCTTCTTGTTCATTCTGACTTTTCTCCAGACGTTGCTCTAAGTCAGACAGTTGTCCCTCCAGGTCTTTGTTCCGAATTTCTACTTCCTTTAGAAACAAAAGTGTGACATACAGGTCAGTTCATCACTTAATAATACAATTTTCTGCTATTATTCACAGGGAGGCAGACAATGGAGTGTGACAATAAGGATGAGCTTCTGAGTGTCAACATTTAATTTAGGGAGATTTTACATTTGGCCACCTGAGAAATCCAAGTGGTTTTACTGACTGGCTTGTTAATTAATCTATCTAGTCACCTGACCAAAATTTCCTGGCTGCTTACTCCATACACAGCAACACTTCAAATACCAAGACGGTGCTAAAGACCCATTCAGTGCATTACCTACATCTCGTTTGTCTTTCTGCCCACCTACTTTTCCTAATGCACAATTCACCTGCTATCTCAAGTGGAAGCAGGTAGAAAGAAAAGGAGAGAAATTCAGTTTCTCTTTTCAGGGGCAACCCTCGAGAAAAATTTAATGAAGAAAACTCTCCAAAATGAAGTTTTAGGATCCTCTAAATATGCTAATTATTCTGTTTTCTTTAATATCAAATGAGTGCATGTTGTAGAGAATACAGCTTAACTGTTTAAAAAAAACTATAGCAAAGATAAATTTCAGAGAATTACAAAGCTAACAACTCTAATAAAACACTTTAAAAGCTATTCAAGATAAGCAATAAATCGAGAATTATATACCCTTTCTGGAAAGCTCACTTTTACATCTGAGAGGAATTAAGTGACTGACACAAATTACATTCAAATACATAGTTTATTTAGGACAATGAAAATATTTTGGTGTTAGTTATACAATATAAGTCAGCCTCAGAAAATGAGATGATTTGAGAAGATTTTATCACATCTAAATAAAGGACAGTAGGATCTCAAATTTTTTTTTACTGAAAAACAATGTGGCAAATGTGAAATGAAAAGAACACAATACGAAGTAGCACAGGGAACTGTGTGAAAAATTACATGCAGAAGGACAAGCACTGGGAATTGATGCACACACAGGAGATAGTTCTCATGTTGGGCTGATGGGCATTTCTGGGGAAACACTTAATTCTCATAACATCTAAAAATTTAACTGTCAAGAAAAGTAATTGGGAAATTTGCTTGAATACTTGTAAGAAAGCAACAACTGATTTAGGATACTGGACATGAGGAAGAAATGTTTATATGCTATAACAAAAATCACTCAGGACAAGGCTCAAGCAAAGAGGTCACAAAGAACCCTCAAGAGCCTGAGAAACCATGAGAAAGGAAGACAGAAGCTAGAATGATTTACAAATGAAGAATTTAAATGAATCCCAATCTAATCTCAAAGTGTTTACTGTTAGGTGTTACCATGTATTTTATTCATCTCTTTCCTTTGAACAATCTGCAAAGTGAAGATAAGTAAACTGAGAACAGAACTTGAAACCAATAAAATATTTATAAATTCAGAAGCCAAATTCATAGAGGCTTCTAAACTATGAGGAAGAAAACAGACCCTGTGATCAAATGTAAAAAATTCCACTCATGACTGCACAGCATGATCTCCTGCTTGCTTAAACAATAAGCTTATGGGTAGAATGTTTCCAACTATAAAAATAGACCCAACGTCATTGACTAGCAAACACCCACTTGATCAGGCACCACCCAGTTTGCCCTCTAAAGCCTTCCTTAAAAATGAAAGGCTCCCTTGTTCTTCTTGCCAACCAATGAAATCCTAACCCGTTTCAATGGAACAAGTGAAACACAAAATTCCCTCAGCTATTAAAACTGTGTTCTCTCTAGATGGAGTATCCTTATCCTACTCTAAGCCACCTCTCTGTTTGGAGTAATTTTACTTGCTGGACAACAAAAGGGACTCAGTACAATGCTGACTTTGCTACTCTATCTTTAGACAGAGAGAATACGTTCCTAGAACAAGAACAGAGTCAGTACAGGAGCCAAGAAAAGGCAACTGGAAGGCAAGTGTTAGTTGGTAACACTCATTTTCTCTACGTTTTCCAGTTCTTTGATTCTTGTCTTTCATTCTTCCTCCTAAAACTCCTTCTTCTGTTCCCTGTCCTTTTGTCTACTCTCTTGCCTTCTTCCTTTACTAAGTGATGTGTAAGGCCTATGTCGGGAGCAGCGAGAGGCATGGTAAAAAGATCTTCAGGCCAGAATTGGCTAACCCTCTTACAGTGCTTTAGGAGCTCTGGTAGCATAGTGGCTAAAAGCACTTGACTGCTATCCAGAGGGCTGGCGGTTCAAACCC